GTCCTCGGTCCGCCGTCAAACGCCATCGCCAATCCACACGTCGATCTCTATCCGTTCCCCTAATCCGACGGCCTTTACGCGTCGTTAGTTTCTTCGTCCGCCCTCCGTTACCACTTGTGCGCTTCGCTTCACCGACCACTCCTCCCCATGCGGCATGTGCTTCACTCATCGCGCAACCGTCCCAGCTTCCTCCGTCACTCTCGAGGAAATGACGGACCGCCGTGATGCATGTTTTTTATTCCTTTCGGAAGTGGCTTTGACAGCGACTCTCTCCAGGCTCGCGTACCAGCGGGCAGTTTATATTGCTATTTCCGATTTTTCGTGACCAGACGTATAGAAGGGCAAATACTAAGTCTACCTGGTTTCAGTATAGAGGCCAGTGGAAAACACTAAAACCCGCTCGGATGACAAGCCATTTGGGAGGCATCAACCCTAAACACCTTGCCTCATTGTGTTTAGGGTTGATGTCCTCAACGTGGCATACCATCCATGAGGGTTTGAAGTTTTTGTCCCGAGCTGCGCGCTTGCTATGGACTCGATGAAAACATTTATAATATACCGTAACATAAAAACAATATTTATTGTAGTCTCAAAAGGGGAAACGTATAATAATATGCCCCAAGGTATTGGACGCAAGCGTGAAGCAATGCGCTGTCAAAACCACTGCTCGTCGGAATTGGAAACTAGAAAACACGGCGCTCCGTCATTTCCTCGTCACTCGCGCTCACAATCCCCAGGCAGCCACGACGCGAATCACAGAACGCGCTCTCATCGCAGCTCCCGAGTTTCTCCCACCGCCAACCCCAAGCCTTCTCCCAGCCAACAAATATCGTGGCTTTCTGAACTCAATGCCATTTTAAGCGCCTCAAGTTTCTTTCTTGCTAATTTCTTTCAGCCAAAGCAGCTCAAGACAGCCATCAGTAGTTTATTTCCAAGCACTTGTGGCCTGCCTGATTAGTTTTCAGCAGTATCACGAACTCTGTGGCGCACTGATTGTTATTTTGTATCTATTAGTTTCGTAGAGTTTGTTTCAGGCCGCACATCATGGCCTCATTACACTCTCGTTCACAACGCCGTGACCTAAACTTGTGGTTCGTTTGCGCCTCAGTCGTCGCGCTTCTGGTCGCCGCGGGAGGTGCTCGTCAGTATGTTTCGGCCGCCGCACCGACTAAGGCGCAGATTAAAGCGGAAGTTAAGAAGATGGCGGATCACGTGAACGCGCACTACCCGAATTACGTCAAGTTCGCGAACGCCGTGAAAGCCGCTATGTCGCTCAACTACGACGTATCCGCGTTAAAGAATGCTACGATATTGATGCCCGATAACAATGCGTGGTCGAGTTTCACGAAGCTGGTGCCTCCGTCCTCGAAGAACCTGCCTAAGATGTACAACGTTACGGCGTACCACGTGCTTATACCGAGGATGATGCTAGCGTATATAAGGCAGCAAAAGCCGAGAGCGTTCCCGACGATGCTGAAGCAGCCTCAATATAAGCAGACCCCGATGAACGCGGTGAACGCATCGTTTGGGCTTTTAAGTTCGCCCAGGCCCAAATGGTGTACGATAACGACGGCCAGGATTTATCAGGGCCCATATTTCATCGCCCATGGCGTGGATAATCTTGTGATTCCCAAGGGTACCACGGTCCCTTAGCTTGAGCTTCGCTAATATACTTGCCTTTCTTTACGCATTTTTGTGGCTGAATTGACTATTCGGAACCTTTTATTGATTTACACAGCTATACCTCTACATCTAAAACATGGAAAATCGTTTGAACCCCTTTTCTCTCCTTATCACCTTTTCCATGTTCCACCGCTACTGGTATCTTTCCTGTTTCCTACATCTTCTCTTCCTTTAACATCCCTTACATCCAAATTCATGATTTTGTATTGAACATAATCCATCATAAAAGCACAGCTTAAAGCTGCGGTATACATTTGAAAGGAAGAGTTCAAAAACTTTTGAAATTTGAAAAGTTGCCCCAAACCTGTGAGGCTCACTCCCTAAACCCTGAACCCTGCTGACAAATGTATACTTCAGCTTTAAGTGAAGCTTCTTGGCATTGCACGGTTTGTGAAGCTGCTTAGGTCGACTGCTATAGAACCTTAAATGATTCTTGAAGAAACATAACATGTGCTCATGCGGGAGTGGTTAACGGGACAGACTAGAAATCTGTTGGGCTCTGCCCGCGCAGGTTCGAGTCCTGCTGAGCACGTCATTTGTTCTTGGGTATGTAGCTTTGGCGGGGGTACTACTCGCGACCCTGCGCTTTCCAAAGAATTAGGGAAAATATGCCACAAGTAACCAACTTGGAACTCGATAACGTGAATGGTAAAAAAAAACGCGTACGGTCACTGTATCGTGTTTTCTGACGGGTTTGGTAAGCGGGGTCACGGATTCAGTCACTAACAACAGGTAAAAAATCACGCGAATCGTCACACATGTAGCTCCCGCCAAAAAAACTTGAAACTCAACAAAATTCCCGCTCGCGCCCAACCAATCTGTGAACTTGTAAAAAAACTCAAACCCAATCGGAATCGGATGCGGTTTGGGAACGGATCAACCCTAAACACCTGGCGAGTTACGTGTTTAGGGTTGATCATCCGAAAATGCATCCAGGTTCTTTCTGGGTTTCATTTTGTTTTGGCGGGAGTTTCATCTGTGACCATTCGCCTTTTTTTTTTACCAGCTGATTGTGACTGATTCCGTGAAACGCTTTATCAGTCGCGTGAAAACACCCTTTGCAGTGACCGTACCCTTTATTTTTTTACCAAAAATGTTTTCGAGTCCCATGATGGTTACGAACGGCATATTTTCCCAAGGAATTACAGTGCTAGTTGCGGGGACTTTCCGCCCCTCTGACCCGCAGCCAGGTAAGTTATGGCAACATCTCAGAACTCGGTCCCACATTCACCACGTGTCACAAACTCGAGAAAATTGGAGAACGCAGGTCAGAAAAAATAAAACCCATAGGGAACCTGGACTCATTTCCGGGAGGGATCAACCCTAAATACGGGAACCAACATTTTTTTTAGGGTTGATGCCTCCCCGAGACGCATCCCTTTCCGATTGGGTTTTAGATTTTTTCGGTCAGGTTTTTCCAGTGGCTTGCGAATTTGTGACACGTGGGTGTATGTGGTGTGGAGTTCTGCGCTGTTACGATAACTTTCCTGTCGGAGGGACGAAAGGGCGGAAAGTGCCCGCAACTAGCGCTGTAGTTCCCTGGAAAGCGCAGGGTCGCTAGTAATACCCCCGCCAAAGCTACTTACCCCAGAATGAACGTCTCATGTTGACTTATGTATTGTACTGGTTGGGCTAGAGATTGAGGCTTTGTACTGGTTAACGTCTCATTTTGACTCGCTCTAGTCTGTCCGCAGCAAAGCCTCAATCTCTCACTACGTGGAGGGCTGCGCTGTGCCGGACCAGAGTTCCATGCCAGTGTGTGGCATTAGCTGGTCCAGACAACGGCGAATGGTCCTATCTGGACCATACTAACCGCCAGAGAGAGTGGTCACTGGTCGCAGATCAGGGTCGTCAATTCCCCTTGAAATCACAACATTCGAGGTTTGCGTCATATAGATTCCTTTTTCGGTAGTGTGATCATCTGGTCATTCAGGTACCTAGCGTATTCACGTAATCCGTTCTGTGCTGTAGTTGAACATTTGTAGGGAGTGGTGTTTCTGTTCAGAGAGTGGCACCCTAGCTGGTAGGGATGTTTGGCGAGATCCAGACGAAGAACGACACAATCGTCGCCACCATGTTTAACACCCCTCCACGGTCCCGAATTCTTTTTCTTTCCGGGGCGAAACTTAGGGGGTAACGGCCTTAGTCAACCAACCAGGGTAATTCTGGTTCGAATTATATGGCTCCAGCAGGAAATAAAGGATTCACTCAGTGAGGCCAACCTCATGCCATGCCATGCCATGCCAGCCTTCTGTCGGGGTAGCTTCCCCAAGTCGCCGCACAGAACAAGCGCGATCCTGTTTGATTTGATGAGTGCGAGCGAGAAGTTGTGCAAGGGGATGGCTAGAGGGGCACCTTTATTATTCAGGTACAGTTCAGCCAAGCTATTTTGTCGTGCACCCAACGAACGGGCCGTCCAAAATATCGTTCGGTCTTCGCTATTCAACCTTGCTTTCCTCTCTGAAGTGTGTTGTGCCCCCCACGAACAAGGCCTCTCATTTCCGATTTGTTTTGCTTCCCTGCCCGGCGTATCCACCATCCTTCCTTCCTTCCTTTCCTGTCGTACCTTTTCGCCGCTCTAGCCGCTTTGCATTGCTGCCCGCAACACACACGCCCTCCTAACTTTGTTGGGACTTGTGAGAGCAGGAAGGCACGCGAGTGACAAGCAGCAAAATTAGTTATCCATCAGCATTAGGTACTAAACAAAACCAGCCGCCACAAACCACGGCGTCGCCTACGTGTATGTGGGTAGGTACGGAAGATTGGCTGCTTAGCGGCAACTTTTTTACGGTGTGCCTTTGCGAGCGGCGAAATAGCATCCCCGAATTTCTCAATTGACGAAGTCTGGTTGTAATCGTCATTCTTCTCTAGCAACTAGCAGTACGAGTGCAGATTCAGCTACCAGCGGCAAACATCGAGGTTGTTAGGTGTGGTTCCCAGTACGAACAGCCACGAATATTGAGTAGCGATACCTCGATGTTCCAGCTCGCGGCAGTAATTTATATCAGTGCAGGTTTATGCAGCGTTATGAGTATTTCCCTATACCGAAGCCCGTGAAACCCGCTGTTCAAACCGCCGTACCATGTGGAGCGGTAGAAACCCGAATACCCGTGCTTTTCTTCGAATTGGATAGGATCCAGGGACCAACATGATGCGACGGAGGTTGACGGACTTGAACGACGATCATGTCGCGTGACGTGTAGAGCCCCAGCTGGATAAAAGTAATTTTCGAGAATGCTCGAACCTGACGCGTATCAATAGTAGCCATCGCCCCAGCGCGTCTAGACCAACTCGAACGGCAGCTCGTTTCTTCCGCAATGGACTTCACCGATATAGGGACGTGCATTCCGCAGGTAGACCCCGCGCATCGGGTCACGGCGGCTCGGCTGATGGGAAATACCTGCCCCACATGCGACCGTCCCGTCGCCATGTCGCATCCATGGCACCACCCGCCTCTCTTCGACCGCAAAAACCCCTCCGCGCTTCGGGACTTCGGTCGCTGCCGCTTCGTCTGCACCGCCGCCGCCGTCCCCATCTTCGCGCCCTCCGCGCAACTTCCCGCGCGGAGCTCCTCCGCGGAATCCGCCACTGCCTCGATATCTTCCAGCACCGCGTCCGCCAGTGATCTCATCGCGGAGCGGGAGCGGCGGACGCGGGTTCGACACCTCGTAGGCGCGGAACCGGCGCTGACGGCTCTGACGGAACCGCTCCCCGCGGGGTGTCCCGCGCGCGGGTTCCTTCCGCAAACGGCCGTTTTAGGTGGAAGCAGTCGGAGCGAGGAACTAAACATGGACTTATTAAGCAGCGCGCCGCTAGAGGCGCTAGAAATCGGACCGCAGGCGTATCGGCGGCGCGTGGGTGACGTGTACGACGTTATTCCGGTGCTCGCGATTCCGGTGAAGGCTCCTAGTCGAGCCGGAGAAGGGAATAGTATAAGTCGCGGCGCGAGTATTGGTAATACGTCAGGCAGACGGGGGACGTTAGCGGGGGGAATAGTTAGGGAAAACTCTCTCAGAAGTAATTCCGGAAATTTTGGTGCGTGGGATGCGGAATCTGATTCGACGAGCGTCGCTGGTGGCGACGATACTGCTGCTGCTAGTGGTGCGAGGAATCGCGTAGCGTGTTGGTGGCGATTGATGGTCGTCGCCGCTGACGATTTGATGGCGACGAACGACGAATTGTTACAGCGGTGGTTCGCGAACACGGATAACACACGGAAGTTCGCCGTCTGGGCGAAGAAAGGTGCGAATGATACCGTTTCGCTGCTGGTCTCTCTCTCTCTCTCTCTCTCTCTCTCTCTCTCTCTCTCTCTCTCTCTCTCTCTCTCTCTCTCTCTCTCTCTCTCTCTCTCTCTCAAATACGTAGGACAGCAAAGACAACCCCCTATTCCCTCCCCTTATTCCCCCTGCGCCGTCTCTCCCTGCGCCGTCTCTCCTCACCCCCGCACTTACCCAAACTCCTCACCCCCCTCCCCTTTTTCCCCTTCTTGATCCCCGTTACAGCTCACCCCGGTAGCAAGTTGAAGCTGCACGGAATGACGATTAGAACCAAGGAGAGGGACGAAGTGAAGCGCGTAGCAGCGGATGCGCATCGTTCGTGGCAGCTACAGTTCGCGGATGGTAACCCTATTTGTCGCTGCTCCTCGCTACCACACAAACAGCAGCAGCAACAGCAGGAGCAGCAGAAGCTGACAGGCGGTACGGAGTCCAAGCCTGCACGTTCGGCGAAGCCTCGGTCATTGAATCTAGGTTTTGTAAAGCCAAAACCCGCAGCGCAGTACATTCGCCGGCCGAGTTTTGATTTTGGTTCGGATATAGGGGTAACATCACGGGGAATGGGGGTAATAGGGGAAACAGCAAGAACAGGGGAGGATCGGCAAGGGGGAGGGGAGATTAAAGTGGAAAAGAAGCGATTTCTTGGTGCTTTAAAAGGAGGGATCCGGCACGGTAAAGATAAGGACGGTCATGATCAGGATGGGATGGAGGCAGTTTTAAGTTTGGAGAATGGACGGCTGAATTGCAACGGTGGAGCGTCGAATGATATGCATGGTAACCAGCTCGGTTCCAGTGGTAACCAGCTCGGTTCCAGCGGTAACCAGCTCGGTTCCAGTGGTAACCAGCTCGGTCCCAGCAGTAACGGTATCTACAACGAAAACGGCAACAGTGGCGAATGCATGTCTAGCGATCCTGCAGCTGCTGCGAGCAGTGCAAAAGGGGGGAAGGTGAAGCACAGAAAGAAGCTGTTCAACCGATCAACGTCTGACAACGGCGCATTACATGACCTGAAACAGTCCGGACTTAGTCGATGGAAAGCCAGGGGAGTAGGAGGGGGAGGGGGGGGAGAAGGGGGAGAAGGGGGAGAAGGGGGAGGAGGGTTAGGGGGAGCGGGAGGAGGGAGAACTCGGCCTTTGGACATTGATGTTGGTGATGACGGTACTGCTGCTGGTGTTCCTTATTCCCTCTCCACCTCTGTTCTTTCTCCAACTCTTACTGCCTCTTCTTCCCGAGACTCGACTGCTGCTGCTGGTGCGGCCGCTGCTGCTGTTACTGCTGCTGACCTTCGTTCCCTCACGGGCGCCAAATTTGCTGCCAGCAGCAGCACCTGCAGCAGAGGCGACCAATCAGCACACATTGAACCTGTAAACCTGTCACCTGAATTATCACCTGAATTATCACCTGAATTATCACCTGAATTATCACCTGAACCACCACCCTCTCACCAGCAGCAGCACCAACAGCAGAACCACCACCACCACCAGCACCAGCAGCAGCAGCAGCAGCAGCAGCAGCAGCAGCAGCAGCAGCAGCAGCAGCGACAGAAGCATCATCAGCAGAATCGCTTGGGAACCCCGGATCCCTCCGCCCATCGCTCCTTCCGCGCCCCTGCACGCTCCCCCCTCCGCTTCCTCTTCTCCCCCGCGCACCTCTGCACCTTTGGCGGGAACCCCTTTCCTCCCTCCCGGATCCCGGGGGATTTTGACAGCGACAGTGATGGGGAGGAGTGGTCAGGAGGTACGAACGGGACAAGGGTAGATGTGACAGGAAGAAAGAGCGAAAGCGGGGGGAGAGGAGGAGGAAGAAAAGGCTGGGAGGAGGAGGGGGATGAGGAGGGACTGGGGAGCAAGGGGTTGGGAGGGAAGTTACGTAGAGGAGGAGAATCCCACTCTGCATTTGACATCTCCGAGCCGCAATTGCAGTCCACCACTGTGAATTCCGCGCTGCTTATCGGCCGCAGTAAGAGCTACACTGACGCTGTGCCTGTTGCAGCTTCTATCGAGTCGAGCGCTATGGAGGGTACAGCGGACGACGATAGCAGACACGGGGCGGAGGGACGTGAATTGGAAGGGGAAACACAGTCGACCTGGCTGCTTCCGTTAGAAGTAGGTGAAGCAGGGGATGAAGCACGTGCTCTAGCCCCTTTATCCCCTCTTCTTCTGGACTCTGGAGTGACTAGTAATCGTACCACTCACTCCCATTGTAACACCTCTAACAGCGGTAAAACCTTTGGCAGCAGTAGCACGTATGGCAGCAGTCACAGCTCCAGCAGCGGTAGCAGAATGGTAACTGGTAACACCGCCTCTGGTAACCAGGTTACTGATGACGACAGCAACACACTGACCCGTGGTAAAACCCTAGGCAGCAGCAGCAAGCGGGTTTCCGGCCCATCAAAGCAACACAGGCGTATGGCATCAGCAGCTGATGTGGATCTTCGCACTTTCTCCCCTTCCCATGCCTCCATCCCTCCAACCTCCCCCTCCAACCTTTCCGCCACCCACCCTACTTCCACCCTCCCCGCTTCCATTCACCCCTCTTCCTCTCACCATGCTTCCACTCACCCCACTTCCACCACCTCCCACCGATCCTTCCTCCGATCGGCTGACGGAACCTTTGAGGCGTCTCAAAAGTCCGCCGGCCACCGATCGTTCCTGAGATCGGCTGACGGCACACAGAAGGCCAACCGTGCCGCTTCTGCTGTTGCTGCCGGTCTTGCTGCTGCTGCTGGCGCGGCTGCTGGTGCTGCTGCTGGTGTGGCTGGTGGTGTGGCTGGTGTGGCTGCTGGTGTGGCTGGTGGTGTGGCTGGTGCTGCTGCTGGTGTGGCTGGTGGTGGTGGTGGTGGTGGGATGACAGGAGGCAAGACGACTCAGCTGCTGCTGTCTCAGCCTATACGGCACCGTCGCAACTGCAGCAGCAGCTTTCTGCCTGCTACCCCGCCTGGTGCTGCTGCTGCTGCTGCAGCTGCGTTTGTTGCTTCCTCGGTTGCTGCTCCTGCTACCTCTGCCGCCCCAGCTGCTGCTGCTTCTTTCTCTGCTGCCGACAGCCGTGCTCTCGGACGCTCGGCCTCGCAAGCTTCGTCCAGCAGCAGATTATCCAGTGGTTCGGTGCGGTCCAGAGGTGCCAGATCTGCTAATAACGAGGATTGCTCTGTGCTATGCGTTGAAACGCCTCGAAATGGGGAGGAGGGGGAGGAGGGGGAGGAGGGGGGTAAATGGCAGGATTGGAATGACTATGAGGATTTTCAAATGACACTTGCTGGGGGAGAGGAAGGCGAAGGGGAGGAGAGTGAGAGAGGGGTGAGTGAGGGAGATTCAAGTGGGAGGTTTGACAAGAGTTCAATAGGTGACTGTAACGAGCTACAGAACAGCAAAGGTGGTACTGGTGGTGTTGGTCGGGTGCATTCCCGGAAGATAAGGAAAGCAAAGAGTGTTGGGAAGGCTTTAGATGGGGTCGAGAACGGTGGAGTGGGAGACGCTGGAGTGGAGAGAGTTGGAGTTGGTAAAGGTAGAGTGGAAGGTGGAAAGGCAGAAGATGGTTTTAGTGATTGCCCTTCTTCAGTTTCTATACGCTCTGATGCTGCTGCTAGTGCCACTGGTTCTGCTTCTGGGCCACGGGTTGTGAAGATTAAGAAAGGAGGCAGGAGCAAGAGCAGCTCAGAGGGGTGTAGAGTGGTGAAGCTAGGTGAGGAGGGGCGAGAGGTAGTAGCTGGGTCAAGCCGAGGTGATGCGATAGGGTCGAGTGCGGTTGAAATGGAAGGGGAAGTTCCCTTGGTGGTTTCGGGCAGAAGTAAAAGTGCGGTGTATGGAAGGAGCTTAGAGAAAGGTGAGGAGGGGTCGGGGAGTGGGAGGCGCCGGGCATCTGAAGTTCTCCAGGCTGCCCGGTGGGCAGCAAGACATGCGAATGCACTGAAGCAGGCCGAAAAAGCAGCGCAGGCAGGAGGAGGAGAAGCAGTAGCAGCAGAAGAAGGAGCAGGAGGAGGAGGAGCAGGAGCAGAGGGATTAGTAGGAGCAGGAGGAGAAACAAGGTTAAGGGAGCGAACAGGAGGAGAGGGAGTCACGGAAGCAGCAGCAGAAGCAGGAGATGGGCCTGTTGGTGGTGTAAAACAGCCGCCTATGCATTACTGGGTGCCTTTGAAGGGTGACGATGAGGAGGAGGAGGAGGGGGGTGAGGGCGAGGGTGAGGAGGAGGAGGAGGACGATGACAGTGATGCTGCTGCCACGCCAACATTCGCAGCAGCAAGAACCGGTGCAGCGCAGCAGCAGCAGCAGCAGCAGCAGCAGCAGCAGCAGCAGCAGCAGCAGCAGCAGCAGCAGCAGCAGCAGCCGCACAGCCCAGCAGTGGCAGCCCAGGGCCGCCCCCGTGCAAGGTCGGAAGGAAGCTTGCATTCCAAGGGGGACGTTTCCGAGCCGACCCTTGTAGTAAAACCCCCCCAAAGGGTTCCTTCTGAGTGCTTTCAAGGGGGAAGCTCCTCCTCCTTCTCCCCCTCACACCCCTCACCCCCCTCACCCCCTTCCCCCTCCTCACCCACCTCACCCTCCTCTCTCCCTGTCCACAAGGCGCGCACCCTTCCCTCCTCTCAAGCTTTATCCGAGCTCAACCGGCGGGCAGAATGGGACTTACACGGAGTTAAAACCGCCCCGGAACTAAGGGTGCTAGCACGGCAGTCCTCAGAAGGAAGGATCCTGGAAAGTGCTGGGATGGCAGATGGGATGAGGCAGGGAGATGCGGAAGGGGTGGGGCTTGATCGGAGAGCAAGTGTTGCTGCTACTGCTGCTACTGCTGCTGCTGCTCTTGCTGCTGCTCCTGCTGCTGCTACTGCTCGTCCTGCTTCTACTTCCACGCGCTCTGCTGCTACAGAAGCAGCAAGAGGAGGAGAAGCAGCAGGAGGAGGAGGAGGAGGAGGGGGAGTAGCAGCAGCAGCCAATGCCGCTGCAGGTGCATGGGCCTCTCGCCGGTCCCCATCCCCCATATTAGCTGCTGCGATGCGAGCATCAGCAACCCTAGAGTTACAGAAGCAGCAGCACCAGAGCCTTATGAACGTTAGGAACAACAGATTTTCCTCCTCCTCGTCTTCCTTGCAGCCCTCCTCTGCCTTTACCTCCTCTTCCTCCTCTGCCTTTCCTGTAGCCACCACCAAGTTAACCGGTTCTCCCTCCTCTTCCTTCAACTCCTCATCTTCCTTCAAGCCTTCCTCTTCATTCCCTCCCTCCTCCTCCTCCCACCTGACCGTTTCCCACTCAGCCTACTGCTCCCCTGTCGTCCGCACTCCCACTTCCCTTACTCCCACGATCTCCAGTATCGGCCGGCTGTCGAGCGATCTCGGCCCTTCATTCGACTCGTCAGATCTCGCTGCTGCTGTGGCTGCTGCTGCTGCGTCTGGTGGTGGGATGAGGGGGAGAAGCAGGGGCGTGGGCATGGGTATGGGTCCCTCCCCGTTTGTTGCCCGTGCTGCTGCAACTATGCAGAAGGGAAATGCCTGCCAGCGGCGGTATGGTGGTGGTGGCGCTGCTGCTGCTGCTGCTGCTGCTGCTGGTGCTGCTGGTTCTGCTGCTGTTGGTAGTCGTAATGGCGGTGTTGGTGCCGCCGCCGCCGCCACCGCCACTGCTGCTGCTGCTGCTGCTGCTTCTGTTGGTGCTTCTAAGGGGGACTGGAATGGAGGAGGGGAGTGGGGCAATGGCACTGGAAGCACCGACACTGGCGCTGGTACTGCTGATCATGAGAACAACGGCATTGGCTACACGGGTAGCAGCAGCAGCAGCAGCAACACCTACGTCAACACCAACACCACCAGTACCACCAATGCCCATACCAGTACCATAACCAACATCAGTACCACTCGCAGCACCGATACCAATACCAACGCTTACCACGAGCCGCCCGCCGACGACTACGAGACGACAAACACCGGCCACACGGCAGCAGTGTTTCGGCGGAAAACCATGGCAAGGAAACCTGCAGGCGCACTTGCGCTCTCATCTGCTGCTACCCTCCGATCCCTTCAATCCCTTGAGTCGACTCAAAAGCCATCTCTCCACTCTCCCACCCTCCACACTACCACTGCTCTCCGCTCTCCTCGCTCCCCTACTGCTCTGCCTTCTCCCCGCTCCCCTACTGCTCTGCCTTCTCCCAGCTTCCCTACTTCTTTCCCGTCTCCCCGCTCCCCCACTGCTCCGTCATCCCCCACCCAGGGTCAGCCACAGGCCCACTCTCCCCCTCGTTCCTCACCCACTAGTGCCCAAAACACCGCTTCCTTTACTGCTGGCAAAGCAGGCAAAGCAGCAGCCTCTTCCTCTTCCTTAAAGCCAGGGAAGAGCAGCAAAGCGAATGCAAGCAGCAGCACCACGAAAGGTAGCAAAAAAGACAACGGTGGTGTGAGAAACGCTGCTGAAACTGGTACAAGCGGCACAAAGAAAAAGAGCAAGGAAGGTTCGCATATGAGGGATACTAGCTGGGCTAGTAGTGGCTCGGGCACCGGGCCTAACAGCCCACTCGTACCCCCATTGATCCCCATCGCCAAGCCTGTGGTTCAGGCTTGTGAAGGTGTTGTTACACATGAGATTCCCAATTCGGGAGTGCCTTCAGCAGGCTCGTCGTTGCGTTCGTCGGCGCCTGTGGCTAGGAGCGGGCTCGGTGCGGCAAAGCCGTCCCGCATACAACCTAAAATCGTTAAGAGTGAGGCGAGACAGCCCGTACGATGATATCATTAGTTTAGGCTGGGCGTGATTGTAAAAGCTTGGTCGACATGTTATAAATGTAATTTAGTGATTATCATGTCACAAGCTCACAGTTATAGCTAAAACCGTTCAAGGTATCTCTATATGGGATCTAACATTATACTGACTTGTATCAAGGCCAATACTGTTGTGGATGAGTCCCATTGAGCCCATGACACTGTACTCACCTGCGACGCGCCTCATTCTCTTCATCAGGCTGGGCAACATTTGTCAGCGGAACTGTCGTAACTGTCTTTTTCGTCAATTGTCATCTCCACCCTAGCATGCTAACAGATATGGTTTCGCATTTGACGGTAACCTTTCATAGATCCAACCGATTCTTGCAGCTGTACTGCACTTCTTCTCGACGTTCGCCTTACAGTACAAATTATCTACAGTTGGTTGTTCGTGCCAGGTCTGTCACTTTGACCGTCGATTGTCTAGCATGTGGGACCATTCCGAGGGATTGCGGCGATTGTCTCGTGCGGCAAATGTCAACCAGAAGAAAACAGCATGCTCGTTTAAAGCCGCGGTGCAACTATCTTAGGAACAGCTGTCCATTTGCAGGGAGGAGGGGGGAGGGGAAAGGGGGGAGGGGGGGGGGGGGGGAGGTGGGGAAGGGAAGGAAACGTTGCACAATATTGAAGAATGTTAGGTAGGGAAATTGAAGAGAGCATGGAAACTGAGATATGATAGACAGCCTTCAGTGGCCAAGCAAAGCTGGTACTGTCGGCTGGGCTGGACGAGAGAACGTAGTGGAAAGGGAAGTGACGGTAGTGGGGGAAAGCGAGGGACAGGGGAGGGGGGAAAGGGATGGCTGAGAGAAGCGTGAATGGTGGGAGAGGACAGTAGTAAAGGAAGGGATGTGAGAGAGGGGGAGGAAGGGTGGGAGGGAGAGAGGACAGGGGGAAAGGGAGAGAACGACAGGGGGAAAGGGAGAGGCGGACAGGGAGAAATGGAGAGGAGGACAAGGGGAAAGGGAGAGGAGGACAGGGGGAAATGGAGAGGAGGACAGGGGGGAATAGAGAGGAGGACAGGGGGAAAGGGAGAGGACAGGGGGAAAGGGAGAGGGGGACAGGGGGAAAGGGAGAGGAGGACAGGGGGAAAGGGAGAGGAGGACAGGGGGAAAGGGAGAGGAGGACAGGGGGAAAGGGAGAGAAGGACAGGGGGAAATAGAGAGGAGGACAGGGGGAAAGGGAGAGGAGGACAGGGGGAAAGGGAGAGGAGGACAGGGGGAAAGGGAGAGGAGGACAGGGGGAAAGGGAGAGGAGGACAGGGGGAAAGGGAGAGGAGGACAGGGGGAAAGGGAGAGGCGGACAGGGGGAAAGGGAGAGGAAAACAGGGAGGGCACTGGCCAAGCGAAGTTGATGCTGAGGATCGGGCAAGGGATCGGAAAGGGGGAGGCATTGGAAAGGGGGAAATTGGATGGGACGGGAGGTGACAGGGTGGGACGCGAGATGCTTCGCCACCGTCGCACAGATGCTTCGCTCCGCTGCTCGCTATCGTCGCCCTGGTGCTCGCTATCGTCGCCTTGGTGCTCGCTATCGTCGCCCTGGTGCTCGCTATCGTCGCCCTGCTGCTCGCTATTGTCGCCCTGGTGCTCGCTATCGTGGCCCTGGTGCTCGCTATCGTCGCCCTGGTGCTCGCTATCGTCACCCCGCTGCTCGCTATCGTCGCCCCGCTGCTCGCTATCGTCGCCCCACCGCTCGCTATCGTCGCCCCGCTGCTCATATGCGACCACCGATATCTAGTTATCGTCGCCCCGCTGCTCGCCACCGTCGCACCCATTCCTGCCTGTCGCTGCCGTTGCGCCTTTGCTACCGCAGATACGTGAGGAATGGAGGGGCGGGAGAGGAATAAGGACGGCAACGGAGGAAAACGAGCGCAATGCGCTTCGAATACGACAAAAAAGGTGTTTACGAGGTAGGAAATTGCGCAGATATTCGTGAGCACATCAATAGACCATGAAACGCGAGAAATCTTAGCGGAAATGGCTCTGCGTAGCTCGGGAAACTTACTTCAAGTTAGTAAGAACCTAGTTCAAGCGTGAGAGTTTGCCGAGTTTGAGTTGTTTTGAGTTCAAGTTTGAATTTTCAAGTTTGCTGCCTGCGCTCCCCCTCATCTCGTTGAGCGGAGCTTTTCCCCGAGCCCTCCCCCGTTTCCCCCCCCACACATCATACTGCGAAGGACTTTTCCGCACGCCCTTCCCCCGCTGGCAGAAACCTCTCCCTGCTCGCTTTCCTGTGTATACTGGGTTACGCGGCTTTCAAACTATAATAGTTTGAACTGGAGCCGGGATATCTGCACCACGGCTTTAAAATGGTACGACAGATTTACTGACCGTAAAACGTTATATATCTTTCTCCAGCCGTCTCAACCGTTTTGGTTTGCATTGAATTGCTTTGCTCCTGGGCACGACGAAGCTCAGTGGACCGCAATCAGACACACCTTGAGATATGTGCCATATTTGTCTGTTATCGAAAAATAGATTGGATTGTTTCCTACAGTGCTTCTGTTACGGTTCACTTTCATCAGCTTCTTGGAATGGCGGAATTGGCTTGAAATGGAACTTGGATTGGAATTGGGACTAGAAAAGGCTGGGTGGGCGACTCACACGCGCAGCAAACCACAGCAGACGGTCAAGCCACAGCAGACTCGAGAAACCCCACACCACTTACGGATGACGAGTGACATTAGGCATAATGGAATAGCTTACGGATCCCATGCCTTCTTCATGAGTTGATTGGTGAGCACGTGAAGGCTACAACGCTTACGGTAACGGAGAACCTTCGAAGGTGCCGACATACAGTGCTTTGCCAGTGAGATAAGATCAGGAGGACATGCTCAGTCAGATTGCATTAGGACTACGACTAGTTACCGGATAAGAAAGTTACAAATAGGCTGCGTCTGGCATTTAGGCACCGGTTACAACTGGCAATCCACGTATTCATGGGGCGAATCGGGATCTAGCACTGCTAGCCGCGACCCGATTAGGTATGGATTTCGTAGATGCAGGGACGTGTGTCCCACGCATGAACCATTCGCTCCAGCATCGTCCACTCCCCACACTTGACTCTACTATGGCTTCTCACGCCAGCCTAAAGCATTCTCCCTCCTTGCTCTCGTCTTCCATATGTGAAAGTTGCTCCAAGCCCCGCGATATGTCGCACCCATGGCACCACCCTCCGCTCTTCGACGAATCCGCACGATCAGATCTCGGGCTTTGTCGGTTTGTGTGCACAGCGCCTCCGCAGCCGCCAAGGTCACCCGCCTCTGACTGTTCACGAGACGCCGCAGATTTGCGCAGAGGAGAAGCCGCTAATGGTTCTATCAGTAATGGTTCCGCCGGTCGCTCAGTACGCGCGGTACCACTCAAGAAGCGCGACGCCGCATTCCTCCAAGAGCTGTCGGTGCGCGAGGAAATGGCGGCGCAACGCGAACGTCGCACACGCATTCGCGAACTGGTTGCGAGCGACCCCGACGCGCTCTCTCCGCTCACCGACCCCGTCCCGACGGGATGCCCGGTGGCGCGCGGCTTTTTTCCGCAAACAGCGGTGTTGGCGGGATGCGCGCGAGACGACGTATTGGGAGTCGAAGTGCGCACCAACGTTCCGCTTGAAGCTATCGATATCGGGCTCGAGTCGCACAATCGGCGAATAGGTGACGTGTACGACGTGGTGCCGTTATTCGCGATTTCGATGGACGGAACAAACGGCCCGGGTTCAAATCTTGAAGACGACGAAACTCTAGCGACGCCGCTGGGGATTCGGCAGAAATCGTGGGCAGACGAGGACGACGAGAGCGAGGGGGAAGACCAACCGCTCAGCACGCGGTCGATGCCTTTGAAGGGCGGTGGCGGGGGGACCAGGGGAGGGCGGAAGCAGATTGGCGGAGCGGAGTCGGAAGACGAAGGCGGAAGTGCGCGAAGGGATTCGCGCGCGCGGGCGCAGCAGTGGCGGGTGGCGGTGGTGGCGGCGGATGATGACATGGCGGTGGACCCCGCGCTGCTGCGCGATTGGTTCAACGTCTGCTCCAACTCCAGGGCGCTCTCCGCGTATCTACAAAAGGGTACGCGCAGGTCGAGGGTATGCGCAAGGTATCCGCAGTTCCAGGTTACGCGTAGGTCAAGGGTACGCGCAGGTCAAGTTCACGCGCAGGTCGAGGGTACCCGCAGGTCAAGGTTGTTCCGGCCTCATTGCAACGGGCAGGTCAAAGTTACGGTTATGGTATTTTGTGGTTATGAGGGGCCTCGGGCGATGCGCTCTCCGCGTATCTGCAAAATGGTTTCGCACGTCATAATAAGTTAGCACGCGCAGGCCACGCCATTGCGTCTTCGAGTCTATGCAGCATGGCGGTCCGCCATGTCCGTCGTTAATACCCTCATCATATTTCCACGAATATCCGTGTATTTCTCATGACCGCTTTTCACGAGTGGTTTTCGTTATACCTTCCCCTGCATGTCTGTCGTTCACACCCTTCTTCCTTTAATGATTCCCTTACCGCTTCCCGTTTACCTTTCTCGTTAACGTTTCCCGTTTCCCCTTTTTCGTAAATGCGTCGCCTTTCCAACTCTGCCGATTCCCGCTGCTCAGCTGGCCGCCGCGGTTCGCCGCTGCGGCTGCGTGGCATGACGATCGGGCCGCAGGAACGCGACGCGGCGCGCAACTTAGTGTCAAGCGCGCACTTCTCGTGGATGCTGCAATACGCCATCGATTACGCCATCTGCCGCTGCGCCGTCGCCGCTGATGCACCACTGGATGACTGCCACGTGGCAGAAGCAGCGCGAATGTCCGAGTCCGCGGAAGTGAGCAGCGGCACGGCGAGACGCTCCGCGGTGGGGGACGAACGGGAGGGCGCGGCGGCGGGCAAGGCGGGTTTTGCGGACCAGCGCGGCGCGATTCCGGCGTCTATTTCCGACCGCTTCGCTGTGACGACCGACACGAGCGGGCGGAACTCCTTATCGTCTGCGCCAGAGGCTGGCGGACTGATAGCCGCGGAAGATTCCCCGCAACGAAGCGCGAACTTATCCGACAACATTCCCCTGTGCGACTCGCAATACAATTCGGATCGGTCGGGTCCCTTGGTCTCCGCGCGGGACGACGCTCGGTCGTCGCGTGCGAAGTCGTACAGGCGCTCTGCGACGCTGGGTGCGACCGATCTTCACCGGATTATCTCCGCGACTGGCAGCAGGCGGTTGCGCGGAAACACGGGCAGCGATAAAGAGAGGAGCGGGAGCGGAAAAGAGAGGGGCGATCGAGATACCGCGATAGGAGTTGCGAGCAGAGGTAGCGAAAATCAGGGTCTGGGTTGGGGGAGCGGCGAAATATCGAGTGATAATGGCGGAGGTTTTGATACGAAGAGCACGAACCTCGGCAGTCAGGGTGGCATCAATGTGACTGTAGAAGAGGATCTGAGAAAGGAGTTTCCCGCTAGTCTGGGAGGGCTCGTTAGTAGAACAAGCACGGGCAGCGCCGGCAACAAGCACAGTTACACCAGCGGAACCACCGTTAGTGGCACAAGCAGTACGCCAACTGGCAGTTCGGATGATAGCTCCACAAGCAGCGGTACGAACAGTACCGGTTTTCGCGACGAGGGGACTGGCAGAGCTGGTTACAACAGTCGTTACAAGGACAATAACAGCAAAAATGAAGTGTTCATCATTTTAAAAACTGCCGAAGGTGACAAGGAAGCAGTAAAGGAGGTGGCGAGGGCAGGGGGGCAGGCAAGTAGCAGGGCAAGTGGGGAAGGGCGGGGACAAGAAGTTCCAGAAAGTGGGCGGCTGACAATCTGGAAACAATCTGATCCGCAAAACTTGCAGGCGCCTTTGCCTCTGCCTCCGCGTGTGGCAGAAGTTGGAAGCAATTCTGCTGCGCCAAGCCCAAGGCGCTCGCGATCGCCACTGGGCGGCATTTTTCGGCTCGTGCTGAACTCCTCATGCTTCTCTGCAGGGGTGAAAGAAGGGATGGCAGAACAGGATGCTGGGAAAGGGAACCGGAAACGCACTGCCAGCACAGGGGGGGGCTCGGGTAGTGCCCTTTCAAGCTCTAAAACTTCCTCCTCTGAGTGCGTAGGTGCTACGTGTGTAGGAGGGTGGAACCGAAACTTTGAGTCGGGTGGTGGGACAAAAAAGACTGATAACGACGAGTCTGGTTTAAAGTCTCGGGTTGCAGGAGGCTCAGCAGCAGCACGGGTGGATAGAGGGTTGGGTGGAGCAGAAGCAGGCAAGGGTGCGTTTCAGAATGTGCAGCAGCCGCAGCAGCAGAAGAAGAAGGATGGTGATGGGAAGGTGAATGTGATTGTAGATGGGGGAGTGGCAGCTGAGGATATCTTTGGTTTCCTGCGTGATTCCAGACTGACAGCCACTGTGGCAAAAGAGGGGCCTTTTGGTGCACCTCAAAAGCCGTTATGTTCCAACACAGCAGCCCAAACACCGCAAGCATTGCAACCATTGCAAGCATTGCAAGCACCGCAAGCAGCACTGCAAGCATTGCAAGCACCGCAAGCAGCACCGCAAGCAGCGCAAGCAGCACCGCAAGCAGCACCACAAGCAGCGCAAGCAGCTCAAGCTCCTCCGGCTTCTCAGCCACCTCAGGAGCCACAGGCACCGCAGGACCCTCCGGATTTGTTTGATTTCCTTCGTGATCCACGGCTTAAGGCCACAATGCCAAAAGGGGGCGGCGCATGGATTACCACTGCAGCAGCAGGAGCAGCAGGAGCAGCAGGTGCAGCAGTAGCAGCAGCAGCCCCAGCAGGAGCAGCAGCAGATGCGCCTCTTTCCTCCAGGTCGCCGTTGCACACCAACCTCCATGTGGACGTATCTGGGGAAGGTGCTATCTGCGCTAGACAGGGGTCAGCTGAGAGGATCTCGCCTATGGAGAGGGATGACAGAGGGAGCAGGCAGCACCAGGATAGGCTAATGCTTTCCAACCCTGGTGGGAGGAAAGTATCTGCTTCTGCTGTCTCCGCATCCGCTCCCACCTCTCCTAGAGCAGCAACCAAACCTGCCCTGCTGTTTCCAAGCCTCACTCCCCCTACCCACCTGTCGCCTTCTCTGGGGAAGGGTAGTCAGGAGGGTGGCGAGGGGGGGGTAAGGGAAGGCATGCTGGGGGCGGAGTGGGGAAGGAAGGCTCAGGAGCATGTACAGAGCGGATTTTTGAAAGGATTGCAGCAGGTGCCGAGCGGAGAGCAGCAGCAGGAGCAGCAGCAGCAAGGGAGGAAGAAGAAGGGGATGGTTCGGTGTATATCAATGGGGCTTGCCAAGATATCGCCTGCTTTGAGCCACACCTCTCGCCGCGACACCTCTGATTGGATCACCGATGCTGCAGCTGCTTTTTCTGATTCTGGTGCTAGCGATCCTGCAACTGCAACTGACAACCCTGCTGCTGATGCTGCTGGCGTTGCTGCCACAGCCACAGGTCCTCCTGCCACTGCTCCGCCTCTTCCTGCTGATGCTGCCACAGGGGCTGGTTCAGGCGCAGCAGTCCACACGAGCGCATCAATCCCATCAGCACCACTGGAGCTCCAAATACGGCCATTAGCAGCCCACATGCGGGCGGCCAGCTTCAGCTCCCACAGCAGCCTGAGCATGAGAGAATCACCTGTCACCACCACTCTGGCTACCCGTGCCGGTTCGTCAAACAGCCGTGATCCTAAGAGGGCACTAGGCAAAAGCTCAAGCTACGAGACAGGCTCAGCGGTTTCAAGCAGGGTTGTCAGGATGCCTCTTGAGTCGCCTTTCTGGCACTCTGCAGTTGGCACTGGGGTTTTCCAAAAATTCACACACGATGGCCTGATGACCCCATGTGAAGATCCGTGCGTGGAGGAAGATGTGTCGCCTCCACCCCTGCAGCCCTCCCCGTTTCTCGCAGCCATCATATCCTCTTCCCATGGTGCCTCCTCCTCTTCCCTTTCCCGTTCCCTATCCTCTCTGAAACCCCCTGCTCTGCCACTTGCCAGTGATTTTCCTTCCTGGCAACCGGAGCAGTCTTCTCGCAAACTGTCGCGCTCCCAGTCATCTAACTCTGTCGCTGCAGCGGCCCGCGTTTCCCCGTCGCCCCGCCTGCTGCTGCGGCCTCCATCTGCCCTCTCTGCAAGGCGGAAAGCCCTGGTACCAACACCGAACCAATCTTCTAGCGTTAGTCCCTCGGATTCCGAGCCACACAAGAACGAGATGGCCGTGGTTAGGCATGAGGAGTGTGGTGCAAAATTGAATGGTAGAGGCTGTGCGATTTCGGGCCGTGCAAGTGAGGGCGGGAGTGGGAGCAAGAGAGTGGGAGGGGGAGGGTTGTTTAATGTGGAAGAGGAGGGTGAGGAGGATGAGGAGGCACCGGTGTTTGGGTCGTCGGGTAAAAGTAGGTCTTTGCCGCATAGAAGGCGAGCTTCGCTACCCGTGATGCCATTACCTGCGCATGTTGAGGAGCAAGAAGCATGGTAGAAACATTCAGACATTTATATTTGCTTAATAAGATGTTAGAGCTTCTTTTGTTCATATTTGCTAACTGACAAGCCTGGGGCATGTTGAGAGCGTATTCCTATCCTCGTATCAAGAAAACCTCATATCAAGATTGTACTTTTTGCCTGGTAAAAGTAGCGAGAGGTTTTGGGTTTAGGGAAATTTTCAGTGGGAGGTTGATATGAGGTTTTCTTGATACGAGGATAGGAATACGCTCTGAGTGTGACCACAGGGTAAACTTTACAGGGCCAATTCTCCTTTCAGAGCATTATGTATTGTATGTGAGGTTCTGGGGATTCTTTTGAGCGTTACCATATCACCCCGGATATAAGCGCATGCCTATGTTAAGCGCATGCGCTTATATCTGGAGCAATGCGCTTATGGCCGATCCTCAATTATAAGCGCACCCCCTGTAAACCTTAATTTATTATAAACGCATCCTATTTATAAAATTTGAAATCGTGTCAAAATACTGGTAAAACGATTTTCACTTAAGCAGGCTGATACTTTTCAAATTCGGTTCTGCCGAGTTCAAACCCTGCACAGGCTGCGAGTCCAGTCAGCATGAGCTCTCAGGGGCGCCCTGTGAGTCACATCAAATGTTTTTGCCAGCGCGCGCGAAATTTTCACTCACGACCCCATGTAAATTCGACTCGATTGCAATGGCAGGCACGATATATACAAATTGGTGTTAGAAATTTGTAAATTTATATTTGTCATTTTATAAGCATACGCGCTTATAATTTTGACTCAATTATAAGCGCACTCCCCTAATAAACACGGTTTTATTATAAGCGCACCTGCGCTTATATTCGGGGTCATACGGTACGTTGAGAAGTTTAGCTAAAACGACAAATTCTTTAATTGGGCTACTTTTCTACTGCAACCAGGGAGGTGGAGCCAACGACGTTTAGGCCCTATTCTGTTGCCGCACTACTTGTTAGAATATGGAACGAATGAATGACTGAACTAGAAAGCAGGTGGGTACAAGTAGGAAACCTAAAAGTGTTGTACCCTATAAGAACTACCCCACTACAGCCTAAACAGACTATAGCATATAAGTTTGACACACCCCCATAGGAAAAGTGGGGGAGAACAAGAGGTCACAAGACCAGTCAAAAAAAGCAAAGCAAGCTCAGGGTGGATCACAAAGTCACCACGCAGTCTGAGCACAAGCAAATGGCCACAAGGCCAGTTCACATGCAGAGTTATATAAAGGAGAACAAGCAATACAGTAAACACAACCTAGCAAGTACAAGCATGCAGTTATATGTATAGAGATCACAGTACAAGCAGAGTCAAGAAGTGAGGCCAAGTAGGCACAAGACCTAGCATAGTACAAAAACGCTGATGATCACAAGGCTGAAGTGCCTTGGTAAAGATATCAGCAGTGTTGGCCCGAGTGGCCACGTAAGCAAGACGGAGCTGACCACGCTGCTGCAACTCTCGAGCAAGGAAGTAGCGCAGAGCAATGTGCTTCGTTCTGTGCTCCAGTTTGTGCTCCTAACACAAGGCAAGCATGGCCTTGTTGTCGACGTACAGAACTGGAGGAGAACGAGGCGCCTCTCCCAAGTCGGTCAGCAGGTAGGTGAGCCAGCGTAGCTCCTGTGCAGCCATGGCCCCAGCGTAGATCTCAGCCTCATAATTGGAGCTGAGAACAGAAGACGAGCGGGTAGACCGCCAAGAGACAGAACCGGAGCAAAGGCTGAAGGTGTAACCCTGTGGCGACCGCTGCGTAGTCAAGTCGTCAACCCAGGAGGCGTCAGCGTGACCAGTGAGGACAACTCGAGCCCGTCCTCCAAGCACGAGCCCCATGCCTAACGTACTGCACAAGTAACGCAACACCCTCTTCGCAGCATCCCAGTGCACCTTTCGGTGCCTACCGGGAGCCACGTAGCGAGCCAGAAGGCTAAGAGGGTATGCGAGGTCAGGTCGTGTGCAAGTCATCAGGTACATGAGGCAGCCCACAAGCTCTGGATACGGGCCACTCGGCTCTACGGACTCGTCCGAAGGTGGAGCTGAGAGCGAGTGACAGGTAGGCAGAGGAGTTGACTGCGGCAAGGAGTACGTGAAGTCGAAGCGCTGAAGGACCTGCTGCACCATGTGTGACCGAGTCAATGTAATGGTGCGCTGTGCTCTGTCCCGGGTGATCCGCAAGCCAAGATAGCTTGTCAGTTCACCCAGGTCGGTGCACGTGTGTCTCTTCTGCAGCTCCGACTTCACGTGGGCGAGTGCTTCTGTGTCAGCAGTAGCAAAGACCAAGTCGTCTACGTACACGAGAATGTAGAACGGCGGCAGAGTAGTGTCAGTGCGTAGAAGCAGCGACGGGTCAGCAATGGAAGGAGCAAAGCCAAGAGCAGCAAGAGTTGTCCTCAGTGTGTCGTGCCATTCGCAGGGTGCCTGGCGGAGACCGTAGACTGGCCGCCGGAGGCTCCACTGGGTACCAGCAGGAAACGACCCAGTGAAGCCAGGTGGGCGGCGCAGCCAGATCTCCTCGTGCAGGCTGCCCTGTAGGAAGGCTGTGCTGAAGTCAAGCGAGTGGAGCTCGTAGTCACAGTGAGCGGCGACGTGCAGTAGTACCCGAAGAGTGGTCATCTTCGGGGTAGGGGAGAAGGTCTGGAAGAAGTCAACTCCCTGTCGCTGACTGAAGCCACGTGCAACGTAACGCGTCTTGAAGACAGGCGGAGAACCCGGCGGCCGCTTCACCCTGAAGATCCACATGCCACTGACGATGTTCGCCCCAGGCGGGGGAACCTCGTCGACGTAGGTGCCTGTGGACTTCCAGGAAGCCATCTCGGCGTCCATGGCTACATGCCACTGAGAGGAGTAGGGACCCTCTATCGCCTCTGCGTAAGAGCGCGGGGTCGGGATGTCTGGTGCATCCGGGTCTCCCTCATGGGCAAGCAGCATGGACACGAGATGAGGTACAGCAGCAGCAAAGCACTCAAACTCCTCCTGTCTGTCCTCAAGAACATCCGTGCCAAGAGCACACCCACCCCTAACGGACGGAGGACAGACAGACTCAGACGCAGACTCAGCAACAAGACTAGTGGCAAAGTCTAGACGACAGGCTGCAGCAAAGTCAACAAGCTCAGTAACTAGAGCAGACGCAGTAGTGGACCCAAACAAAGGGTCAGTGTCAGCAGTGGCCAGAAAGCGCGAGACAGTAGGACTAGCAGCACGAAGGGAGTCAGACTCCGGGTCCGGACCGTCAGGAAGAGAGGACGCAGGAGGAGACGGCAGAGGGACACGCTGTGGAGCAGTGGAAGGACGCAGTGTCATAGAGTGAGTGCTAGGGACAGGAGGAGGACGCGGACGCGAAACACGACGACCAGCGCGAACAGTGCGGACAGGTAACGCAGAACGAGACTCAGGTGACACAGGACGAGACTCAGGTGACACAGGACGCGACTCAGGCTCACGACGCTCCGTAAGACCTCTAGTCGGTCAAGAGTAAGGAGAAGGACCAGGCAGTGGAGAGGTCGGCTGTAACTGCGACTGTGACTGGACAGGCGGTGGACTCAGTAGAGGAGGAGTAGGACCAGGAGAAGGCAGGAGACCAAGAAACTGCTGAAGGAGCGGAACGTAGTACGGCCGCGGCCGCGCAGCGCCTCCAGAAACAGCAGAGACAGCACCAGTACCCTCAGCTCCATAGTCGCCAGCTATAACTCCCGCAGCACCACCAGCTCCAGTACCTCCAGCAGCTCCAGCTCCAAAAGCTCCTCCAGTAGCAACAGCTCAAGCACCTGCAGCTCCAACTCCTGCAGCACCACCAGCCCCAGCAGCTCCAGTACCTCCAGTACGAGCACCTCTAGGACCAGCTGCTCCAGCACCTCCAGCAGCTCCAACACCTGCAGGACCTCCAACAGCACCAGTACCTCCAGTAGCACCTCCAGCAACTCCAGCACCAGCAGCACCTCCAGCACCTCCAGAAGCACCTCCAGCAGCTCCAGCACCAGCAGCACCTCCAGCAGCTCCAGCAGCACCAGCAGCACCTCGACAGCGCCGAGCGTACCACTCACGAAGCTGCTGCGGAGAGAGGGGCTCCCGCCACGACGAGACACTCGGAGGACCTCCAGACGCAGC